TCTATTTCATGAAAACAAAGGATTTATAAAGTGTATGTAACTTTCTAATACCCAAGTAAAAATGAACGATACAGCATAAAACAAAAATATTTTAATAGTAAAAAAAACAGTCAATCAATAAGACCGGTTACCATACAGACATTTATTTAGGATTTATTCTAGGACTTAGGAGAAGTGACTGGAATTTTCATTTACAGTAAAATTAAAGAAATCACTCATAACAGTATGCAGAATTTATTTTAATATTCCATACATATCTCAATCCTTTTAACATGTTTTCCTCCTCATAATGCAATTAACTAATAAAATATTTATAGCTATATCACTTTTATATTAGAGATTTTATTTGTGCAGTATTGTATACACTTTCATCCATAGAATGATTATCACTTTATTATTTGATATAGATATGCTGATGTTCAGTCCTCAGAGTAAGCTTCATATGAAGAACGAGACCGAAACAGTGATAACTTTTGGAAATAAATAAAACATTCTGAACCAATTTTACTGTCTACAATGGCATCTTCTGATGTAAAATATTACTATGCACGTATTATAATGGAAAAATGAAACACTTTCTAATATCATCTTAACACTATGTATAAAAGAATAATTTCCTTTTCAAAACAAAGACTTTGTGATATTGCTGGGAAAATAGAAAATTATTAACAATATTAACAAAAGAATAATATTTATTACATTCTTCATAAATCATGGACTCATGTAGCTTTGCTAGGAAAATAATAATATGAAAATTTTTATTTTGATGTTAGAAAAGTACATAACATTAAGATGAAGTTCGAACGTTTCTTTAATTACACAAAACATTATCTTTGGAGTAGGGGACAGAAGTCTCAGAATAAAACCTGTTTATGTCTGCAAAAACAATGACTTTACACATGTGTTACAAATCAGCACACAGTTGAAATATGAATCTAAGAGGATATAATAAAACTAATGCACAAGTTACATGTCTAGGTAACTAACTATTAGGATTTTTTTTTTAAATTTAAGTATAATATAAATAAAAAATTAACATACCACAAAAGGCTACTCCACGTAACTTGGGATAAGGTTTATTTATAAAACAGTTATACAGATTTTTTTTAAAATTTTCTTATTTGAATTATATTATTATATGCATTTTATTCAGATTACATAAACCCGTGAAAACTTTCCTTTATTATTAAACGTGACATTTCAATCAAATACAACTTGTCTAATATCAGATTGGCTCCTCAAGAAAAGTAATAAATGAAATTCATTTAAAGTAACAACAATATCATTTAATATTTCAGGCTGGAATAAAGTAGCCATATAGGGAGGGGAAGAAGAACAAAGAAAATATTCTTCCCCTCTAAAATATTGTTAAAAAATTGTTTTTTAAATTATCGAAAAAAATGATAATAAGAAATATAAGAAGCATAATTAACCAGTAAGCTGCAATTTTTCAGACAACATTAGAAAATTTAAATAAGATGTTCATAAAAAAATACCAATATGATCAAATCTAATTATGATAATTAAAAATACTAATATGATGATAATCAATGAAATTAAAACACAAACAGAAAAATAAAAACAATGAGAGATAACATTATAAGCAGTTAAGACATTTTTAATACAAATTAAATTTTGATGTCTACAAATTATGTCTACAGCTAAGTGCATGAAAGCATTACAATTAAGAGGTACATATTTCTGCTTCAACTTTAGTTATTCAAAGCAATTTTTATTTTCTAAAATACTTTTATTTATACTTAACTCAAAGTCATACATATTCTATATTATTAAAAGCATATGCTAATTACAAAGGACATAATTTATTTACTTTACACAATTTTAAAACTTTTCTAATAAAATGATTTAAAGTAAGATGCTTTCAATGATTTTACACACATATCACGATATTTCATTGCAGTAAGGCTTTTAATTCAAAGAAGCTAAATTTTAAGCAAGAAAGCGCATAAAAACGTTTCTATGTGCAGAAAACCCGATAAAATGATCAAATATTTCATAAAAATGACAACATTTTTAATCTCATATTCATAAAGCATAAATCTCTCAAAATATGTACATATATAGTTATATATACACACACATACATACATTCAAATAAAAGCGCAATTTAGTTTAGCTTTTTAAAGTGTAGAAGCATTTATACTTTTTTTTACAAAATTTAGAAGAATAAGATGAATTACAGATTACTCTCCTTTCTCCAAATTAGCATAAAATGTAAATTTGACTTTACATAGCAATGATATGCCAACATCATTTTAAAGTTCTTCCTTACTTAAGGCTGAAGTAGATCTTTTAAGCTTTCTCCACAAAACACAATATTGAATGTGACTACAAAAATTTTACTCAAATACATCAAAGTTAAAAAAAAAAAAAAAAAAAAAAAAAAAAAAAACAGACAGACAGACAGACATAAAAAATTAATACTTAAACATAATAAATTAATACTTAGACATAAAAAAAAAAAATCAAATACAATCAACGATTTTCATCAAAAATGCAGATGCATTTCCAACGATATTACAGGGGGAAAAAAATTAAGCATAAGATACTTCATTACCCATTTTGTGGTAAAAACATCATTAGTAATCACATATATGGTACGGCTATATTTTGTTAATTACAGATATGTACAATCCAGAAATGTACAAAGAATATACAGCAACAAAAATACTATGTTGATAAATAATGCTTGCAATAATGCAACAAAATATATGTAATGAAATTTATGACTATGTTGCAAAAAATAATACAAAAAAGTTGCAATCAAGAAAATTATCTCAATAGTTCTTAGAGAAAATAATTTCAAAAGGAATGCTAAAAAATTAATAACACTTATTATAATGCTTTATATTTATTACATCACAATACTCAAATTTAGTAAACTGAAGTCATTCATATCCAACATAACAAATATTCATATTTTAACAAAGGATGTTCACCTAGTTCTCCAGTGAATTAAAAACTTATACATGTTACAAGCAAACAGGTTTACAAATTTGCAACAGGAGTCAACAACTTATCAACTTTTCCTTCTTTATTTACAGAAGGAATGAAATAATACAGTTGACTAGCAGAAAGAGTTTTCGTGTATGCTTCAAATTTAAATGACTTTAATAATGACATTTTCACAGCAAAATAAATTACACATAGATTTGATGTCTAAGTAGATTTGTTCTTCTCATCTACTGACAGGATTTCTCATAAGAATATTTTAAGAAATATATTTTCAAATATAAACTTTCAGAATGATTCAAAATAGACATAATCTGCTATGCATAGAAAGACAAACTAGATATATATGCGTGAAAAAATATGCCACTGAGTTAATATTTTGCCACTTGTAATACAAAGGCCATTTTTTAGACCTTCTGGAGGTCAATATTATTTTGTTAAAAGTCCACAGAATTATGATGTTTTATAAATAAAATTACTTCATGCATAAATCAAAAATAGGTTTTTAAAGTTATAGTTCTGGAATTTAATTATTACATATTTGCTGTATACTTTGAATGCATATGAATTTATTTTAAATGATACTAGAATTTTTATAGAAGTATATCTGTGAATATGTTAACCATCACTTAAAATCTTGTTACTGCTTGGAACAAAAACTATTAAAATAATTGCATCTCAGTTTGAGTATGTCAATAACAACATTCTCATTTTAACCCTTTCGGCCAATGGTCTGTTTTATGGCCAATGGCCAATGGTCTGTAACCCAATGGTCTGTTTTATTGGGACATTATTGTCCCAGTGGTTATTGAAATATATCTATGCCTCATTCTCAAAGTGGTCATTTCTGTATTTTTAGGCATAGCAATATCATGAATCGTAGGAAGGGATTGACAAAGGAAGAAATAATTAAATTATTGAATGAACCGGATTCAAGTGATGAATTGGACGATTCAGATATAGACAAGGAATATGTCCCTAGTTCCTCAGACAGTGATAGCTGTGAAGAATTGAGAGAAAATTCAGGAACATCAAGGGCACCGAAACAAAAGCTGTCATGTCTTGAGCATTAATCAGAACCCTCCGTTGACTCGGACTCTGATGATTTCTCACCCGATGAAGTGGAGCAGGTATCAAAATGTAAGTGCAAGGCAAAAAATAAACTAAAAAAAAAAAAAAAAAAAAACTATTTCAAAACCTACTGATCCTGTCATTTGGTCAAATGTTGGTCCAAATTTTGAGCCACGGCTCCATGTATCTAAAGACCGTCCAACTGCAATACTGGCCAAAATCAACAGATCCTCTAAGAATTAGAATGTTTCTCATGTGTATTTCCACGAAGGTCTTCTTATTTTTATTTCTCAATGTACCAACCAGCGCCTTGAAATACTGAGACATGAAAAAAAAAGTAGATATTCCTGACACAGACCCTCAGAAATTATGCTTGTGTTGGGAGTCATGCTTGTCATGTCGTTATAATCAAGTACCGAACTTTCAGATATTGGTCCAGCAATTCTTCATTGGGAAACGAAGCTATCAAAATGCGATTTCCCGTAACAGATGCCTATTGCTCTTTGCAAAAATGTACTTCAATGATCCAGAAAAGATGCAAATGCTCCAAAGACATATTATATGGATGAAGTGGTGGCATGTTTCAAAAGGACATTTATGCAAGCTCGCGAAGATAGTCCCTTTCAAAGCATCGATGAATCCATGGCTAAATTCAAAGGTCGTTCTAGCCGAAAGCAGTATTTACCCCTAAAGCCAATAAAACGGGGAATCAAAGTGTGGGAGAGATGTGATGCTGCTACGGGCTACACATATGACTTCAATATATATTCTGGCAAAGACATGGATAATACAGATCATGAGGGTACAATACTTGGAGAAAGAGTTGTTCTAAAACTTTCCTCAACAATACGTAACCCAGATGTTACACTTACATTTGATAGATTTTTTAGAAGTGTAAACTTATTGGATAACATATCTTTTCCTTCGTGTGGTACTTGTATTTCTGTAGAAAAGACATGCCAAAATTCTCTGACGAAAAACTTCAAAAAGGTGATTCAGAATTTCTCCAGAATAGAAGAGGAACTCTTGCAGCAAGATGGCAAGATTCAAAGGAAGTTCTGATTCTGAGTAATTGCCACGGACCTGATGTCATACAAGTAAAACGCAAGCAGAAAGATGGAGAAAAAGTAATGACAAATTGTCCTACCGCTATTGCCGACTATAACAGATTTATGGGAGGAGTAGATTTGTCTGATCAAAAGATATGCCTATATGATTTTGAGAGAAGATCTACAAAATGGTGGAAAAAAGTATTTTATAAACTTTTGATGACAGCTGTTGTGAATGCACACATATTGTTTCAAGAAACCAAACATAGGAAAATACCTCTCTTGCAATACATTGTCCCCCTAGCCGAATTAATGATTGCTCATGGCAAAGAAAAAAATGCAATTGTCAAGAGGAAGAAATCAGGTCGACCGTCAAATGCAACAAAACTGATGTTGAATGTTGGAGAGAGATCATTTGCCATTAGAAGGGCCAACAAGAAGAAGATGTGCCCGCTGTGCCAAACAAAATAAAGAAACCCGAACAAAAACTGTTTGCGCCATGTGTAAAATTGCACTATGTAAAAACTGTTTTGCAATGTACCATACATAGAAATTTCATAAATAATGTTGTGTAGGTAGGTGTTTTCTGATAAAACTGTTCCAAAAGTATTGTGAAATTCATTTAGAACTAGAAAACTGAACTTTTCACTATGTTTTATATTGTCACTTCAACCCCAATGGGACACATGTGTCCCAACTAAAAAGACCAGTGGGATACATATGTCCCACCTCCAAAATGGCCCTTACAGTAAATTTTTGCTTATAATTGGGCAGAATATTGCTATTTCTACTTTATTTTACCTAATAAACCCCTAATTTATCTTTTTTTTTAAAAGAAAAAACTGGTTGTGAAAGGGTTAAACAACATACTGAAACTTGGTTTAAAGCTAGTAAAACCAGTTAAACCTGCAGCAAGCAAATAAATAAATAAATAAATAAAAATCAATGAACAAATACAACTTTTTTACAGAAAGCTTACTAAGTTCATTACTTCAGAAGAAACAAAAGTGTAAAAAAAAATTTTCTTAATGAAATAAAAGAATATATATAGCAGCATTATGTGCAAAAGTTTTTGAGACCAGATAGGTCTTACGTCTAATTACCAGTTCGCTTTACATTTTCTTTTTCAATTTATATATATATATATATATATATATATCTATTTCTCTTTTGAAATTATAAGTTAAAATCACAATCCTTTGTCACAGATGAAAAGAAATTAAAAATTATAACCACATCAAGAGCAAATATTATTTTGCTATTACAATAATCTTAAACTATATATGACTATATTACTGCCGATACCACATATATGATGACTTGATAATATACAGAAATATATTACTAAATAGAATTTTTTATACCAAGAATTGGACAATAAAATATTTACTGGATAAAAATCATATTGTTTAAATACATAAACTCATAAACATTGCACACAGCATAACAAAATTAAATAAACATACAGCATTTAAACTTTCTTTCATATACCCATAAAATCAATAAGAGAAAAAATAATTAATACAGAAGAATAATGGCCTGTTAAATATTTTACTTCATAAAATACATTCAGCATTTCTATATTTCTCCCACACAATTTCCTTTTTGATATATTTGACTACAATGTTTAAATAAAATTTTACGAAACTAACTAGTGAAATACAAGACTGTACAAGACTAGAAAACAAAACAGTATAGTAAATTAATCAAAAATATATATCTTATAAACACCTTTCCACTGTTCCAACCCACATCAAATAATAACTTTTTGTTATGACAGTATTAATTTGCTTTTAAATATATAAGACTTACACCATCAAGTTTAAAGGAATTACAATAGAAAAACACTCCACAGAATAACAAATACTATGCAACAAGAATGTAGAAATTCTTAACAAACAAGAATTATATTAAAATAATTTTTACATTAAATCATTGATTCAACAAAGGAAACTACAAGTAGAAATGAAAAACATGCCAAGTATTCCTTGTACGTACATATATTACAGTTAAAAAAAAAAAAAATTATTAAAAGAGGTAACAGATATTTGAAAAAACATCTTTATATTGCAAACATATGCTGTATTAGTTGTAAACAAAGAAAATTAAATTTTTTCCATCTTAAAACAAGAATAAAATAAATGCATCTGTTATTTTATATATAAATAAATTTATATTAATAATTGCATAACACGGTATGACTCAGATGATGGTATTTTTAAGACACATTTATAACAAACAGCACAATGTAAGACAACTTTGAGCCTCAAGCAAGGATGAACTTGATTACTTGTCAGTCAGTTTCCTCAACTTCACTGAACATGTTCCTTACATCTAAGACACTCACAAGTTCAAGAATTGCCTTTTTTAAACTTGGCTGCTCTAAAATCTCAGGTTCAGACAATGGAGGATGAGAACGAGGTGAAAAATTATTATTCTGCAAGAAAAACAAAAGGAAATTAAATATTTAAAAAGGTACTTACATATTATTCCATTGACCATGAAATTTGGCTAACACTGAATCATGAACGTTCGCAGAGATCCACCAAAGCTGCACCAATCTTTCTTGCAAAAATCTAAAATAACTGATGTCTTTTCATTCAAATAGTAATTAATATTAGACCTGCTTCATTTCTGCACTTCAGCAAAAAGCTTTCTTTCATCAATTTCTACTATTTCTAAGTCTCCCAGTTTTACCAGAAGGTCTGTTTATAACATTATAAGTACAAACTTCCCACAGATAATTATTCCAATCTTCCAGTTTTTTTGTATTACTGTTTTGTCTATTAATACTGGAAGGATCCCATAAAATAATCTACTGTTTGCTGTTTTGAAGAAGGCATGTCCAAAATTTCAATCACCTTCTTCTCAAAACACGAGAGAAAAAACTATAGCAATTACAGTTAATTTATTTCCTTTTTCATAAAACTGAAACCTAAATAATTTTTAACATGAGTAAATTATGAAATATTCCCAAAATTTTAGAGAAAACTGAGTGGGAACAAAAAGTTGAGAATAATAAAAGATAACCTATTCTCAGTCCATATCTCTATGACTCTAATATTGCAATGATTTATGTCCTTTTTTATTCTTAGCTTCTTTTGTTCGCCTGCCAGAGCGCTGTTACATGTGTTATGTTTGATGGTGTACCAAAGCTACCTTTCAACATAATTAGAATGCAATGACTGCTGGAGCTCTTCTGTTCTCCAATGGTACTTCACACATGTCCGCTTTGAAATATGTCCAACTTGCTATACGTCCTAGTTGGATATAATTTTTTTTTTTTTTTTTTTTTTTTAATTTTTAAATATGGAGTTCAATGAGTTGTAACTGCACACACTACCTTCTTTACCTTCGAGGCAATGCTTTGATTGCTCACTACTACTATTCAGTAAACAACCTGCTCTAGAGTTCTTAATTTTCTTTGTGAATTTATGTACTTTCCTGAATTTTCTTTTGTAAATTTGTTAACAATAAGTTTGAAGAAAGTTAATGAATGCCAAGCAACAAAGAAAATGGTAATGATCACCATGCAGATAACAGATAGTTAAAAAGCATAAAGATGGCATGCTTATCCAGGATTTGGCTATTGCTTACTGTATGCTGAGAACGACAGTAAGTTATGAAAAACAAAGATGCTATTAAATCGGCTCATGTTGCAAAAGGAATTAAATTGATTACCAACAAAGATCAGAGACATTAGATTATACTGAAAAATTGTTTTTGATATTCATAACAGAAAAACATTTGACTATAATATTACATACAGTATTTCATTTATGCATAGTATATACTTCAACCACTGCATTTTAGTATTAAAAAGTGTTATAATGATAACAATAGGATCTTTGTTCTAAGAATGGATTAATTATTTTTTCATTATTTCTCACGGTAAAAGTTCATTTAATATATGTCCAAAGATTTGGAATCAATTAATGACATATATCGAGGTATCACTGTACTGCAATCCACTGTGCAATGAATTTATGCCATGTATAAATCTACAAACATGATAATAACAACAAATACACAGTTGAAGTGCATCTGCAAGAACCATAAAATTGCTTGGGGCTTGCCAGTTTCAGACCACTGTTGTAAAGAAGTTGCTTATTACCATTCCATCTAAAAATGGAACATTCTCCTGAATTTAGAGCAAAGAAATGTAAGGCCTTTTTATGTCACTTTCTGAATCACCATCAATTTACATGGGATTATCATTTCATTTTACCCTATTTTCAAGCTTATAAAGGTGTTGCTGAATGGCTTTTGCACTCAAGTTGAATGCTTCTCCAGCTGTGCCTTAGCTATTAAACAGAAACGGGATGTGCTCTGTCAAATGAATATGATAGTGATGGAAATCATCTTTAATTGGGAACCATTATAATAATGTGGGCTGCAAACATCATGCCTTATCATTGTTGGTTTCATCATTGTTTTTTTAACTTGTTATATTACAGGGTATTGTTTACTCATTTCTTACATACCTGCTTGATGCCCAGAACATGTTTCTTCCCATTTCATTAGCATTTGTTTCTACTCATAAAGCATACATCTTCATATAACATTATATGGAGTTTATGTTTCAATAGATCTCACAGATATGCCAGCATAACTAATATCACAACTAGCAGGCTAGAAGAAAAAGCACTCACTAATGTACTTCTCTTTTCTTACATGTTTTTTATTAGAATGAAAGCTGACAGAATGCTCACATTCTCACCCTGTGGGAATCTGAAAGATCTTTATTGGGCACCTAATTATGAGTTCATTTTGTTTATACTAAATTTCTAAAATTACTTTCTCCCTCTCCTTTTTTTTCTTTTCTGTACAGGCATTAGTTTAGTAATATTCATTTTCTTTTCTTTACAATTATTAGGCATAGTAAACTTCAAAGAAGAACTATAGAAATCCCCACATGTCCAAGAACACCATTAATTAGCCATTCATATGTAACTAAGTTTAATAATTACAATATTAACATTAATCATGAGTTCATCCAGACATTTATTGAGATATTTAAATGTGTTGATCAAAAGAAATAATTACTGACAATATTTGCACTTGATTATTATAATAGAATTATCAGGTGCTGGCAGAAAGTCACTGTATTGCAGGATTGGCAAATTTCTTCCACAGTGGTAGAAACTATGAAACGTTACTAAAGTGAAAGAAATGAAAGAAACTAATTTTTAACACATACACATTTGTATTATTTATCTATATTTTATTCATATATTATCACTTATATTACTAATTTAAATATTCTCATTTTCTGTATAATTTAAGAAGCCTCATCTGTATCAACTTGAGTAATTATGTATATATGCATTTTTGTGTATTTACTTTAATTTCTTTTACATCTGCGAATTTAGACACATTCTGAAACTGAATTTTTGTTCATATCAGAAAAATAAGGAAACTTTTAAGTGCTAGAAACAAAGCAAACCTACCATAAATAGCCTATGTAGCCTCAAAACAACACGACAAAAAATGAATCGCAGAATCAACAGTCTTAGAAAATCATCACCATAAAATTGAAGAAAGGCTGGATCTGAAATATTTTAAATATAATTAAAATTAAAAATATATGAGCAATGAAATTTATGCATCCACATCATCAGCTTTGAAAAACTAAATGTAATTAAAATTGTTGTTAACTGAAGTTATTCAGTTAACAAAAATTTTAATTACATTTTGCTCTTCAAAGTCTTGAAATACAGATACATAACAATACAACTTTCAAATCAGACATGCTATAAAACAAGACATGAATAGACAGATATGCAATACAATTTATACACCAGTACACATACATCATCACAATGACCCAAATAAAAGGATACAAAGTGCATGAAGTTCATTAATAGCATGTTTGAATACAAGGGAAAATGTCAAATCAGTTTTTTAACAAAATGTAAACAGAAGCGCTCTATTACATTTTCATAAAAAAATGCATCACTGTGAGAAAAATGAAAGACACTTGGTAATGAAATTTATATCCCATTCTATAAAACACTCTACATATCCACACAAAAGTCAATCTATATATAAACCAAAAGGTAAGATTTTGCTGTAAAATTCAAGCAAAATGCCTGACATAAACCAAATTTTAAACTATCCTATAAATCAAATTATATACATCACCAAAAGTGTGAATAATTTACTCTTAGTTAGAGCTATTAGATAAGCTGCAGCTCATCCACTACAAGAACAAACTTAGTCACGACTACATCATACAGTGCCAGATGACCCAAGCATCTAACTTTAGATAAACTGAGACTAAAACTACATTAACTTTGATGGAGTAGGCTAGCATATTACAATATTTAGTGATTTGCTTGCTCTCTTGCTTCAGAAACAATGGTATATTTTTATCATGCTGTTTTATTTAAAATTTTTTTCAATAATTTAATTCAATATAATTTTTTTTTTTTTTTTTTTTAATTTTACTGTGAATGACAAGAAGCTTAAAACCTTTCAGCATAATTATTAACAAAATACATATAGAATTTTTTAATTAATTTCTGATATTTTTATTAAATTAGTCTTGAGCGGTATTCCCTCTAATTTTTTATTATTAATGTGCAACTTTTTTGCAACTAGTTTGTGTGGCTCTTATTTTTTACTCTTACTTTTTTTTAATTAATTATATTTTAATAACATTCATTACTCTCAAAAACTATTTATTAATTATACAAATTATTCCATTAATGTACATGTAAACACAAAAAAATATAGCTTAACTCTAATAGTAATAACAATAGCAAAATGTTCAGATTTGTTAAAAAAATAAATGCTATGTTTATCTTAAATATTAAATCTTTACTCTTCCATCTTTACAATTTAATAATTCAACATATACGTGATCCAAATTTATTCTGTTTCCATTACATAAATAAAATTTTATTTCTATTAACATGTTTAAGCAATCTTCTTTCAAATGATTTCTTTGTTCATTTTTTTTTTAAATTCATTAAACTGTAACCTCATTTACTGTCAACATTTGATGCCAAAAATGTTCTGCAATATCCATTAATTTTTAAAGTTCAGAAAATTGTACAGAAACTGTTCAGAAAATTCTGTTCTGAAAACATTACCACATCTAAAAATTTTAACATAATTTTTTCACACATGACAAATTTAATGTCAAATTTTGTTGTATTAAAACTGTTTTATGTGTTACTGCATTTTACGCATCATTTTTCAACTGGTTCTGTGCTATACTGAAATTATATGCACTAAATGCTTTCAAATCAAATGCTGTCATTCCAATACTTTACTTTCAGGAAATCTTTTTTTTAAATGACAAATTAAATTTATAAAAGGATAGAGCTAGGACTAATTTTAATATTTTTTCCTTGGCTTCATGGGAATAAATTTTCACTACATTACTCAAAAGTAACACTGGTGTGATTAATATATTGTTCTTTACGTGTATTTATTTTTACCATGAACACAGTGAAATGCATCAAATAGTACTAGATTGTGCTGTTGAAAATTTTACACAATGGTGCAAGTTTTTCAAAAACATCATTCATAATACATAAATTTATATGAATACAGTCAAATACTGAAAATCCGCCAACCTGAAATCCGGCAACTCCTGAAATCTACGTTGCCTCTCAAAATATAAACAATCAGTTGATAGGTTCCGTAAACCGCAACATGGAGTACAAAATATCGAAGAAAAAATAATTACCGAATAATAATGAGTCATAATGGAAACATCAAATTACTGACATCATGATAAAAAATTTTTCCTCTCCAATCTGCATCAAGTTAAAAAAGCAGACGATTCACTCAACTCTTCTTTCAAGTTCACGTTTCACGTTCTTGTATTTTCTGAGCTTTGTTATTTTACAAGATTTAAAGTCCGGATATTTTGTGGATAAATTATGAATATTTTAATACATTGACAGATAAGGAACGCACTTGTGGTTTTACTGCTTGCAATGTTGAAAAATGTAAACATGTTGCATTGACGGTAATGCAAAAAGTGGAAATTCTGCAAAAGATGGAGGCAGGTACTACTTCTTGGTTTACAGCAGAATTGTATGGAATTGAGACACGGATTGTGTATGATATACGGAAAATAAGGAAAAGCTGTTGAGATTTTACAGCAACAGTGATTCTAACACCGGAATCCGAAACCAGAAATCTTTGCATGAGGCGAAATCGGGAAACCTTGATTGCTGTCTTGTACGAGTGATTCCGGCAGCAGTGGAGTGATGAGGTACCAATTTCAGGACCGCTCCTGAGAAAAGGGGAAGCAGATTCATGCTGATTTAAAAAAAGAGGAGCCTAATGTAAATGAATAATATAATATAATTAATTTATATATGTAATACTAATTTAATGCACATAATAATTTAATTAAATGCATCTAATACACGTTATTTATTTTGAACTTTTAGTCTGAATATTATGATTTATCTTTTCTGTCCTGAAATCCGCAAAATCCTAAAATCTGCAAAACCTCTGGTCCCGAGCTTTGCAGATTTCTGGACTTCTACTGTATAAATATATCATAATATGTAAGTATATATTATTCATTATCACTGTTTTTCAATTTCTCAAACAGTATTTTGGTAAATAATTTTACTTGCTTGCTTCATCTTTAAAATATATAATTACTGCTTCATAATCTTTAATTATTGCTTTCAATGCAAAATGTCTAGATAATCTAACTTGATTTAATGTTTGAAGCTAACAGCTTCGTTTTGAAACCAGTAGCAATATCTTAAAATTTATCTTCCTTTCTTGCAGATCTAGATAATATGGTATATATTGTTCCATATTGAAACTTTATATGGCATATAAAGTTTCAATATCTCTCACTAACTTCCTATGAAGTATCACAAATATTCATGATGTGATATTTTCTATTAGTTTTACTGCTATTCCAATTATTTTAACCTAGCACAGCAGCCACTCCATCAGAAGTAAACATAACCCCTTTTTGTAAATCAATATTTTTTCAATACAATTCTTTTATTGCATAAATAACAGAAAAGTATCACAAGATTTAATTTGAATTATTTTACCAAAAATAGTTTTACACAGGATATTCTGCTGACATAAAATTTCAAGTATAATATTAAACATTTGGTGATAGAAATGTCAGTACTTTTGATGAAAAGTATGAAGATTAGATGCCTTGTTCTTTTTAACCATGGAATTAATAATTTATAAAAGCATGAAAGCATAATTCTCATTTCTTCAATTTTTTTTATTGTAATGCATTTTGTCTTATATTTATTTATATCCTGGACAGTCTGCAATTTCAATTATTGATCAATATTATCAATTCTTCATGATTTTTTTCCCCTCTTAAGGTCATCCGGTGTCTCATTTAATAAACATACTACTCCTGTTGCTAACAGCAAGGGATTTCTGCTTCTTAATTTTGTTACACTGTCTACATGAGATGTCGTTTAAACGTTGTTTTAAAAAATCCAATTTCCAATTATCTGTCCATTTTCCCCCACCAACAAAATCATTATTTCCATCTCCATCACAACAATAAATTCTAATAACTCATTTTTTTTCATCATATAAAAATATTTCCATTGATGGAATTCATAATTTTTACAGTCCGGTTTTCTGTTTCAAATTTTTCATTTAAAATAGTTTTTATTTCCTTTCTTTTTACAAAGATTTTCCCGGTTCATGAATAAATATATGAACATGAAATACAATTCAAAAGACTTATATATTACCTACACTTGCAGACAATCTACACTGCAGAAAAAAAAAGAGGGGACAGTTCTATATCTCTCGTTCTACTGGGCCGATTGAAATTGGGTTTTTCATGTCTTGAAAACATGACTTGGGACATATATTAGATTCATATATAGCATTGTTCTAACATAGGAATTTTGACACAAAATCGGACTTTTTCTGATATAACATACCATTTTTTTTTTTTTTTTCATATTTCGATTCTACGCCTCAAATTATGTCTAAATATCAAATTTTGTAAAATTTGGTGCCAAAATATCTACATTTGAACAATGCTATATATAAATCTAATACATATCCTAAGTTGCACTATTGAGACATGAAAAACGCAATTTGAATTTTGTCAAGCTGCCCAGTAGAACAGGAGATATAGAACTATCCCAATTCCCCCCCACAAAAGGGGCTGTATCCCTGAAGGACTATTGTTTTCATTTTGCGATTCTGCATTGATTCACTATAAATGTCTGTTTCACTTTTCAAACTGTTGCAACCAAATGTTAGAGTCCTGCATTACATTTAAAGAAATTAAATAATGAAAAATCTGCATAAATATATGTATATTTCTCGCATTGTGATAAAACAACGGTACATATAGCCATCAAATTTTGAATGACATAATCCTACTGCGAAATATGGGCATGTGAAAGCCCAAATTTGAAATTTGTTTTATTATCGATTTTATATTTTGTAAATCTTTAAAGAATTTATGATTAACAAACTCAACAATTTCAAAGCGAGCAATGGCAACGATGTACAGAAAAAAACTTTTTATCTCTAGTGCATGAGACTGCATATCGGAAATTCAAAAGATATGCTCAATTTAAAACAAATCTCCGATATTGCTCTTGAACTGAATTTTATGGTTTAAGTGTGAAGAACAAGATATTTAATAAATAAAAGTGATAGAGAAAATGTTTAAGAAACTTTCAGATTTTATCTTTTTTATTTATTTATTTATTTTGTGCAGTGTACCTCATACACTAGTCACTGTTTTACAGAGCATACTTTACTCACCACATTAGGGAACAACACAAGCATAGCAGCACTGTATCCTACAATTGTATGGCACAGCACAAACGTTCATATAAAATTATCAATAAATATACAACAAACATTTTTAATAAGATTTATTTTAAGAGTAATGTAAAAATGTAATTTTCATTATTACTATCATTTTGAGTAACAGTTTGTTAATGTGTGTACTTAATTTTCTTTGTGGGCTAAATTTTCTAAAGGCATGCACATGCACAGCTAAGAGGAAATTCTGCTCCTGATAATGTTTTATGAGCTTTTCTACCTTCTTTAATTTTTTGTTTTGTTTAAAATGTTTTTCCTTACCTTTTAATATTGATTCAGCATTTATTCTCTATGATTCTTCAAAAAATAAATTTTACTTTAATTTTTATTTTATTTTTTTTTTTTTTTTTTTTTTTTTTATGTGAAAGAAACAAACTTTGTTTACACACATTTCATTTTACATTTAACTATTTCCTCATTTTCAATTTTTCTTGTGTAACATTTCTAATTCATTGACAATATCTTGCGTTTTTTTATCTTACATTATTTTTTAAAATTTTCTACGAAAATTTCTTACAAATAGTTTTAACTTAAATGTATGGTATAAGTGGGTTTTTTGAGCATAACAAAGCACACAAGGATTATCTGTTTGAGGAAAAAGATGCCTTCATGAAGGACCTTTCAAGGGCAACTTGCTTGCCTCCATGTTACACATGGAGAAAAATCACAGAAAAGCATTCACACAGCCAGCTCCTTTGAAAGGGTTAGAATTTGGATTGAGTTCAGCAATCTTAAGCACTCAACAACTGGTGGACCTATATAATACAAATGAATTACATTTAATATTGTGAGGATCTTAAGTTTTACTAATGTTTACTTTATTTTAAAACTTTACTGTCCTCTCTTATTTTCCACTTCTGGCCAGAATAAACATGTGAATATGTTTATGCAAATTGTAATTGCTAACGCTTAAGTATTTAAGTTGTGGCCTTTCGCCAAGAACAGAGTTAGATGGAGAGAAAGTGAGCCTCCTTGCCACTATATTCCATACGAGCTTTCAATCAGTTGCTGTCCACCTTTAAGGCCAGAGGTTTAGTCCTCCCGATATTTAAAACGTAGTGTAGTTTTCCCCAGTTTGTGCTCTACATACATAATTAACTAAAAGGCCAACCTTAGCGTTCATCATCTGTATAAAGTATTCAAAGTTAGCTCTTATTTAAATTCAGTTAGTTAGTAGTTCTTATATTTTTTACGTTCAGATCACGAGTGGTTGGTCATTGTATCCCAAAGTGTGGGAGCGCCTGTAATATCGTGGAGAATAAAGGGTAATTAAACCCTTCTCATGTTGTTGTCTCTTTTACACTCCATAAGACATAATTTTTAGTCAGACTCACTGTCTCGTCAGGATAATTCATATTTGCCAAGCAGATAAGGAGGAATAGGAGTCCTGATAATATAGTCTTCTTTTTAGACTTCACAATAACCCAATACAGCAATTTGCTCATCAGGGAATTTTCAATGATTTCCTGGATTAGCTAACTGACCAGAAGAAGTCAAAGATTCCTTTTTTTGACCTCATAAATTGTAATAATAGAAATACCAGTGGCCACAACAGCACATTTTAGTTTTTGTGAAACAGGAATTAGAGGTTTTGCAGCCTTCACTTCCACTGCAAAAAACATAGCCACATTATGAACTATCTTTCTCTTCTTAATGAGTGGTTTTTAATTTTCTTACGAAGAAGATAAAAAATGTTAAGAATTCTTATTTGATGACTGAATAGGTCCACTGCTATCACAGCTACAAACAGCACATGCTCTATAACAATGGAATTACACTTCTCTTATTTGCAATCCTGGAAGGATTCTCAGCATCTCTCCTCACAGTGAAATCAACTCCCTGACTGGTGGCAATACGTCTCTTCTTATTGTTGATGAACTATAAGCACCAACTCACATTTAGCTGCTATTTAAAAGAATAGGAGTAAAAGCTTTGTAGAAAGAAAGGCATTTTTGATGCCAACCATTTTTCAAGTTATCTCAACTTTTAGGCATATACATCATTTGGCAATAGAATTTCAGTAGAGTTCTCACATCTGATAACCATTCTCAAATAGTAAAAATATTCCCCTCCTCAACTTGTGCTCTTGCTTTTACTAGCAAAATAAGATTCTTCATTTCTGCTATATCGTGGAAAATGCTCAGATATAAAAAGACTGCCTGTTTTATTAATTTTAAATTAAAAGTTATCACTTTTTCTGAGCAATGCTATGGCTGGTACTGAAGATAGTATTACATATGACGTACATGATAATGATATTTAAGGTAAAGGATGATAACATTTACCTAAACTAATTTCAAATAAAAACTTTGAGATCTAAAAAATTTGAAGTCAGATATCAATATTAAGAAAACAGATTAATGAATATTAACAAGTTTTGCCTTTTCAAAACAGCAATTCTCCATCAGTTTATTTTTATGAGCAATTCTCATTTACATAAATTTATTGAGGTTAGATTATTCAGATGGATTAGCCATCCAGATGAACACCTGCAGAATACGTCTGTATGCTCTTGCAAGTATATTTGCAATTTGGCCTTTTTTCAGGATCTGAAAAAAGCATTGCTGCAAAAGGAAGACTAAATGGCACAGAGACTCATACACTACCTTATTTCCAGTAAAAGTTACATTATGAGAGCTGCATCACTAATAGAGAGGACAATAACTTCCATTAGCCTTCTTTTTGGCTTGATCTTGCCACCTGCTTCAGACCTTGCTGCACTGATGAGTCTTATGTGCGATCTTGGGTGCATTCCATGATTGTTATATGGTATATATATATTTTGTGTATATATATAATATTTTATGCAGCTCCCTAAGTTGATCCTCCACAACTATGATTTTGGTAGTCTGGGGAAATGGTCCCCTCAAACAAATCAATTTCAACATTAAATGCTCTGAAAAACACTGTTCATTCATTTATTTCTTCAAATCAGGAAGTACATCCTTATTATTATAACTTCTGTTATTTAAATGCTACAAAGACTATTGATAAATTAACAAGCATCATCAAACAGCTAGCAGTCCTAGCTACAGTCACTTGTAATCTACCTATCAAGAAACGATATCTGAGTAGGTTACATGTTACTGTTGTATTTCTATTGCGTTTCTTTGTTTCCTTCCCCAAAACATGTTAACAAAGTATAGCTTACCAAGTAATAAGGAACATGCCATTACTATTCTTCCAAGAAAAGGGGATTTTATCTTGCATTAAAATATGTGAAAAAGCGACAAAATCAAACTAAATATCAAGGAAAGCATTTGGAGATTCAATATTAAAAACTGCAAGCAAAAGAAAAAAGTATGTTCTGACAATTGATTTTAGAAGTTCTAGAATACCATTTGTAATAACACTCTGATTTATTTATTGTTGTGCAGAGAAACTGATATTAATAAAGTAGCGTAATATGTTTAAGTGATAACTAAACATATCCTTTATGTATGTTCTTAAATTTTTTCCTTCATTAAAACTCGGTGATAATTTTGGCACTATTTGAATAATATAGAAAAACCAATTAGAATTCTAAAATGCTTTCAGTCCTTCATAACAGAATAAGTCCAGGAGGGAGGAAGAAGAGGAAAAGCTTTTCTTGAGTATTAAAAACATTCCAATTTAAGTAAAAATTCAAATCTGCATTTCAGAATATTTTTAAAAACATACAGCTGTAAGTATTAAGATGATACAAATGAAATTTACTTTATCAAAATTTTTTAACAATGACGTTCATTTTCTCAATATAACTCTCAAAAAGTATTTGAGCAACAATTGCAATTTTTTCCTCAAAAATCTTTTAAAATCAAAGCAAATATATACATCACAAAATTATTCAAAGAGTTAACACAGTAAAACATTAAACATGGAACACTAAATTCTCTCTAGATGATAAGGTGTGTAGCACTGTAAAGGCCACTACAAGGTGATGCTGATGATACAAATCTGCTGGCATTTCAAAAGTTGCATTCTTCTTTTAATGAATATGTTATAGGCATCTATAAAATAACATTTTTGAAGTTCTGAATAAATTTTTTGGAAGGAGGAGGTAACATTTAAAAATGTGTGAAGTTTCAAGTTTTTGAATCTCAAGTTTCTTTCAAGATTCATGGGATTTGAATATCACATCCCTAGCTAAATTATATACATCTGTTCATACACCCATGTAATATGTGTCAATTTCAAACTGAAAAAACATGATTCTACTTACCAATATTGCGACATTTTATCAGAAGTCTACTTGCTTCTGACATGAAACGATCAATATGACTTTGGCTTTTCTCCCATAAACTATATGGAATGTCAGTTATATTACATATAAAACAGATTGCTGTTAAAGGACTGTGTAGAAAGAGAGTAAATAGATTGCCTTTATGTTGTTGATCTGCAATTATATACATACAAATATAAATTTTTAATTTACACTGATTTAAATTTTAATATAGTAAAAGAAAATTATTTTTATTTGATTTAAAAAAATTAACAACCTTATAGTCAGTCATACGAACCATTTGCTCGACTTAAGTGACAATAAAATAATTGTAAATGGCCATATTTTACTTAGCATATTAATGAAACAAAAGCATCAAAATTTCTTACTAATATTCATACCTTAGAAATATCGAAATTGAAATTAAGATATATAATATTTCTTGGATATCCTGTCTACAGTTATTAATATTCAGTTTGTCTTTGTGTAAATAAATAACAAAGTAAAGTTTTAATTAAGAATGCCTGGAAATTTCAGCAAGTGAAAAAGGTTACTAATCTACAATTTGAGATTGGTTTAGTGTTACATCAGTTCAGTTTGTAATTTCTCATTTCTTTAACATTAGTTGCTACAAATGGTAAATTCTTTGCAGAAAAAAATTTATTAATATTGGCCAAGGTTAGTCTTCAGAAAATTACAGTTAGCCTAGAAATGTGTTGCCACCAATTTTTGGTAGATGAACTGAGACCAATTTGACTGACTAGTTAGTTATTGATAAATGGATATAAAGAATTTTTAGTGCAACTATCACAAAGTTATACAATGTGTGACATTAAACTAGCATTGTTATTAACGATCCATTTTTTTTAATACTATGGTCATTAACTTCCTTTATTGCAATAGAGATGACATAATTTGCGTAACTTGATGAGACTGCATTTTTATGAGAAAAAATTATTTACTCAAAAATTTTATGTTCCTCACAATAAATTAAAGGTTGTATGCAATTTCCAATAATTAAATTTCTCTCTTACCATTACAGTCAATAACTTTTAGCCAAATAATTAAAAAAATCATTAAGATTAGTAATCTGCTAAGCATAAATTAGTAATGTATGACACATATATTTGTTTAAGCCATAGAACTAATATCTAGAAACTTAAAATGCACTTTTCTAAAGTAATAGATATAAAACTGATTCTCACTGACTAATTCTTCCCTGTTATCATGTCAAAAGTGCTTTGATAGTTTAATTATACTTTTCTGTCCCCTTTCAACATATTGACAGTTCCAGCTTATATCATGAACAATTTGCAATTTTTATACACTAAAGGTATTTATTTTTTATTGTTATGTATTATTATAACAAATTCTTCCTCTAGTCCTGTAATAAAAATTTTTTCATTTAATTTAGTTAAAAAGATAATTTTTATTAATTAAATTAATTAAAATATCAAAAAGCGCTATAATTTTTATCATAATCATTAGAGGCGTGCCAAGATATTTTTTCGCCTAAGGCAAAAAGGTAAATGCGTGCCCTTATATATATATAGCTATATTTGTATTAAACATAAGTAAATGTATTAAATCAAAATATAATTCTTATTGCATACCATAATTCTTAAAGTATTTTTAATCTATCTTTATTAATTCAAATAATAATATAGCCAATTATTTATAACTTTGAAATGAAAATGTTAAAAAATTCGTTTTTAATAAATGAGAAATAACATCGAAATGCACATCGCATTAATTTCCAGATTTTCTTGCAATTCTTCCTATTGTTTTATTAACTTAAGTTTGCCGAAGCTTATTTCCCCTAATAATAACTGACACATTTAAAAACATAATTAAAGTAATTTTCGAATTCGTATGGCCAATTTGGCGCCCCTTCTCGTGTCACTTGCTTCACTCTTGTCCCGGCTCTGATAATCATGCAATACTTCACATGCAGAGAAGTATAAAAATTTTATTTCCTAACCTTCATATTCTATTTAAAGAACTTATTTGCATCACAGATTTGAGAACAGAATCACAATAAGCTAGAGAACAGCTTTTTAACCTTTGAAAAAAGGTGCTAACTTATCAAATTATAAAAAAAACCAAGAAATTTTTCCAAGACATCCATAGAACCATTTTAGTGTCTTTTAGTGCCCAAAGTGATTTTTTAAAGAATAAAAACAAGAGATTTTTAAATAACACACTAACTCTACACAGTATCTAATTAATAATTGAAAGTACAATTACTAATTTTTAAATGCAAGTGGTACAAAAACATTTATATGTTTTTTTTGGGGGGGTGTCATTCATAACTTTTGCCAAAAAGTAATATTTTAACCAATTGTCATAAAACTGCTAAAAAAAGGGGCAGATTAGTTTTTATAAAAAAGCAAACATTATAATTTTGCCGAAGCTATTACCATGTAGGCTAGTTCTTGCCAATAAAGTTTTAGATGCATTTTACTAAGCAAGCAAAATCAAGAGGAACATATTGCAAATGCATTATATTTCCTTAAGAAACAAATTCAAGAAAAGGCCTCTGTATGATATTTAAAAATACTAATTATTATTATTATTGGCAGGTACAAATACGATTGCAAATTGAGGACTTTCTTGAAGGATGAAACATTTACACTATTCGATGATGATAGCACAAACAAAACATATGAATTTCCAAGAAAATATCAAAATCCGTAATATACATAATTTTCAGATTTTATGCATTACAACAAGTAAATAATAATATTTGGCAAAAATCCAAATTCAAGTTGGTATTGGTTTTTTATAGATGCTTATATATATAGTAAGGATTGTAAATCCCTCTACTAAACATTTAAATCTGTAGAATAAAGAAACAACTAGAAAAATACAATGAAAAACAATAATGGTTTGAAAAACAAGGCTAAATATCCACTCACCATGAAAGCTTGGAGGAATATCTTGAGGTGACATGAGCACTAATACAGGTTGTCCAAAGTATCTTGGAATGTATTGAAATGCGTGACTGTTATCACTATCCACAATTACAAAGAGTGGCTTTCTTGTCAATGGATATAAATCTCCAGGATAAAGGCTAAAAACAGAATTTTTAATTAAATACAAATAAATAAAACAATGGAGAGAAAATTCTAGTGATTTAGTTACTTCAGTATTGCAGCTAACTAAAGTAAAAGTATCACATTAGAAGCATCTGGGGAGTACAGATATTGCATATCCTGTGTTTTTAAAGTTCTTTTGACTCATTTTCAGTATTAATACATCAATTCCTAGTCTTTTCAAATTTAGGATATACTTAATGGAACATTTTGCAACAAAGATTATCTAAATTTTGTATAATTATTAATAGTTCAACTGTGAATGTGAAGTCTCTGTTTGACGTGTTCTAGGATTTTCCACGCAATGGTACCATTACTGACACGCTAAAACACAAATCACCTTAAAATAATATACCAGTATATTTTGCTCTTCTCATCACAGAAAATACTGCAAAAATAACGTTGAAAGTGGAAACAAAATTTTAAAATATGCATTTAAATTTGAAAATTTTCAAACACAATACATAGGAATTCATGACATAAAATTTGGAAACACTACACAGTACAGTGAAATTCGTTCCAGACCAACAGGAATTTCTTTTTTTACATTGCAGAGTTAGGAATGGAGATTATAATACAGTCAAAAGTCTTTAATTCGGACTCGTCGGGACTTCGGCGATTATGGATTATCGATTTTTCCGGATTATAGATCATCAGTTTAAATCTGGTAAGATGGCATGCAGAAATTACAAAATTAAAAATATGAAACCATAATTTATGGAATAAAGAACAATTATGATCTAAAGGGTATCAAAATTTGCAAAAGAAAAGAAAAAGAAAAAAAAAAAAAAAAAGGTTAATATTTATTTGTTTACTTTATTAAACATTTCTTTCAACATGCACATGCGTAAAACATACATTACGCATAGTCGAAATTAGAATATTGCAACCAGAAAACTATTTGATGTATATTCATGATATTTATAATGATGAGGAATTTGATTTAAATCATATCAAAGACGGAGTACTTCGAGATGAAACACTACATTTAGTAAGGAATTACAGTCAAAAGTCGTTAATCCGGACTCGTCGGGACTTCGGCGATTCCGGATTATCGATTTTTCCGGATTATAGATCATCAGTTTAAATATCGTAAGATGGCATGCACAAATTAAATTAAAAATATGAAACCGTATTTTAGGAAATAAAGAATTTATATCTAAAGGGTATCAAATTTAAAAAAAGAAGCTTATATTATTTGTTTTATTATTAAACATTTCTTTCAATGTAAGTTGTTTCGTTTTAGGTGATAATACTTTCTCTTTATTCTATAAACAGACATAATTCTTGTTCAGTTAAAAGGCTCCGCTGTTCAATCCCGTAATTGCTGTGCCGAGAATACCGACTAACTTGTCAATCGAAATTTTTCGTTTCACTAACCTCTCTCACCTTCTTCATGTCTTTATCCATTTTTTGCAGCAATTCCACTTTTGTTTGATGGACATCGAGGCATACTTTCGTTGTAGATCCTTTGGGAGCTCCAAATCGGAAATTGACATAATCGAAAGTTAAGTTTACTTTATAAAATTGTCTTACTAAATAAATAATAAGTGCAAAAAAAATAAGCGCATCCAATTCGAAGATTAAGGAATACGCAATCATCAACATTAACTGAAGAGATAATTTATAATTTAGCTTAACCATCTTATGTTAAACGCCACGCGAAACGTTTCTGCACTGCGCACCGCATAGCGCGTGCACGTAAAGGTTTACGTGCATGCGTAAACACCTATGCGCATGTAACGCGGTGCACGCACAGAAGTTTTTAGCTTTGAGGTCCGGATTAACGGGTGTCCGAATTAAAGACTTTTGCTGTAAAGCCGAATAAATAAAAGCATCTGCCGGAGATAAGGATAGTGCTGAAGATCAACTTCATTCATTGCGCCGTCGTCCCTCCCCCAGACCAGCGTGAATGATAAAAATTTCGGAATGATTAGAGAATCAAAGGATAGCCTTTATTCATTTTGAAGAATTCCACTTTTTGTTTGATGGACAGAAACATGCTTTCGCTTTGTAGATCCTTTGGTAGCGCAGAATCAGAAATATTTGACATAATCGAAAGTCAAGCTTACTTTTATAAAATTGCTCAACAGCTGCAAAAAAAATAACCGGATCAATTGAGATAAAGGACACGCAATCGCAATATTAAATGAATAGATAATTAGATAATTTTAACTGCTTATACCGTCCGTTAATTAAACATGCGCATCACATATTGCACAGCGTGAAGGCATTATGTTTGACGCATCACAGAAAGTTCTAGCTTTGAGGTCCGGATTATAATCGTACGGATTATGGCGTAGGATTAACGCTTTGACTGTACTCAGAAAGCAAGTACTTATAAAATGATTTTTTTCTTCTAATTAATAAAATTCTGTATATTATTTTCAAGCTGCGGATAATGTGTTCATCATGGCCAATGCAACACACTGATGCAGGGTTTCACTCAAACAGGAGAATGAAATTCCGGACTTTTCCAGTTCCAGGTGTGTTTCAAGAAAATTCCAGTCTATCCGCGTAATGTACGTGGCTGTGCTAAGAGGTAAATTAATTATGGATTACTGTATTGTAGCAAATTCATTAATTATTAATAAATCCCGCGGACATTTATTCTTAATTATCTGGTATATTTGTTTGATATTTTGTTTAGTTTCCACTTAAGAACTTAATAAAATTTAATTAGATATTGGATAACATGTATGTTTATTTAATTATGACTCATGACATACCAGTTCAAAACAGGCTAATCCGGTCCTTATAATCACACAAGCAAATAGTTAGGTAGATTTCAGGTAAATTTAATTTGAGGTATGTTCTTAAACCTTAAACACGTTAAAACAACAAATATAATTATAGTTGTTGTTTTTCCACTGAAGATTGAGATTATAATCTTCCCAATCTGGATATATAAGGCTTTTTTTGCAGACATTCTGCAGTAAACGAAAGAAAGAAATCTATTTTAATAAATTGAGGTATTTATATATTTTGCGCATACATAAGGAAAAAATATGTGCTTAAATTTCGTGATGGTATGTCATCATACTGCTATAATTAATTTCAGGATTGCCAGAGAAATTTCCTGAAATTTGGAAATATTATTTACTAATAACTAATTTAGAGGAAACAACATTAATTATGAACATAAAAATAATTACTTAAAAATTAATTAGAATATCATCTATATTTAGCAATATGTTATATTCATGGCTAGCCTAGATGACTGATATATTTTTTTATTTTACTGCAAAATGGCAAGGTATTATTAAAAAGAAAAGAAAAAAAAAAAAAAAAAAAATTTTGCGGTAAAAATCCTAGTATAACGATACGGCTTCGCATGATTTGAAAATTGTCGCCAAGACAAATGACCCGTTTATGCGCATTAATGTCGCCAAATCCCATTATTATTCCAACCAACAAAGAACGTCTAAGTAAGAAGAAAAGGTTCCATAAATAAAATGCTATTACGCTGCTAGAATGCGGAGGGAAAAATTTGCCAAGGGATTTGGCGACGGAACCGGCGGTCAGGAATTATCCTCTCCGCGTGTGTACAGGAAATTGGAAACACGTGTTAAGAAAAACGCTCTTTGACAAAAGAAAAGTACGGAAAATCCGTTTTAAATTATGCGAAAAATCCAAGAAGAACGTTTATCAAAGGACGTTTTTCTGGATTTTTCGCAATAATTTTAAAAACGGATTTCGAGTTTTTTTTTTTTTTTTTCTCTGAAAATAACTATCCAGGAATAATTTACTTGCGCCAAAAAATTTTCTTTCCTTTAGAGTTTAACCACTTGCGCTAAGACAAACTTCACGGTTGCGGTGCCGTGCGCTACAATATACAAGCGGTAAAGTTCTCATTTACGCCGATCCGCATCTGCGACTGCAATCCAGAGCGTAACTCGAGAAATAACAATCTCGTTGTTAGGCACGTGTGCACCACGTTATTTTCATTTTTGCGATAAATGCTTATCGACGTGGTGTCAGTCGCTCGCGGTTTGAGACAAAACATCTTGACGTGGTGGCGTCTTTTTAGCGCAGTGGTTAAAGAATTTTAAACGATATTAATTATGAACTCTTGATAACGTGGACCTTCGAACTTCGACACGGTTTCGAGCTTTGGTGACGATATATCAGACATGCACAGCTGTTCCCCTATGAGGAATGAGCCACAGCCACGTCTGTTGGCAGAGAGATTTCCTTTACAAACATATTCTTGATTCTAACCTCCATAGTACCGTATACTAGGATTAAACCCATTGTTTTATACGAGAACAGGTACTTTCTTTAGTTCATGCACGGGCACATGCGATCTCGAGAATACTGGAAACAAAATTGCTTTGCCTTTCTAAAAGACAATCAAATTGGAGCGCGAAAATTGGCTCTATGCCAGCTACTGAATGACACTCACGTGATACACAATTCGTCAAAAAGTACCTCCCGACGCGGCGCAAAATCGCTTTTTTTTGGCGGGTCGTTGTATGACTTCCCTGACTTTTCCAGATTTTGACAAAAATAATTAAATCCCTGACTTTTCCCTGAATATTTTGGTCAATTTTCGAATTCCCTGACTTTTCCCGGTTCTCCCGGTTTTCCAGGTAGCGTGGCAACCCTGTGACTGGCATTCCGGGGATGAATCAGAATCTCTTTCCCCCTATTTTTTATCAGTTGAAATAAGGTACACTGCTGGGGGGGAGACAGTTCTATATGTCCCGTTCTACTGGGGTGATTGACAAAATTCAACTTGCGTTTTTCATGCATCGAAAGCGCGAATTAGGATATATATCAAATGATACAGCCTGTTAATATAGGTATTTTGACAAAATTGACTTTTTCTGAAATAACATACCAATTTTTCCCCGTATTTCGATTCTAGGATTGAAATTACACCAAACTACACAGTTTTTTAAAAATCTCACAAGCAGTTTTTAAAAAATTAGCTCCTCCATGTTAATTAAGTTTGGTATATATATTTAT